TATATCAGACAGTGTTTCACTGCTATTCATAAGGTTTCCCGTGGCCAATTCTTTGAGAAGTGGATGGACCTTGCATTCTTCCTAGTCCACCTTAGTCTGGAAGCTCTGCTGAAACTTTCCACCATGGGTGACTATGTTAGGCTGGGTTCTCTAGAGAAGCAAAACCAGTGAAGCTTATATATAGAGAGAGAGAATTTTATCTTAAGAAAATGGCTTACACACTCATAGAAGCTGGCAAGTCCCAAGTTCCTGGATCAAATGACAAGCAAGCTTTTCCTGACTCACATAACTCTAGGGGCTGATGAGATCAAAGTTGGCAGGGAGTATACTGGCTGTTGACTCTGACAAGTGACAAATCCAAGATCACCAGGCTGAGTGTTGGTGGTTCACTCACAGACAGTTGTAGACAGTACAACAAGATCCAGATCCACAGAAGAGTCTGTCTTTTTCCTAGGATGTCCATACATATATTGGAAGGAGGCCACACCCCTATGGAAACTCCCTTTCAACAGATTGGCTGCTCAAAACATATACATCTGATCTCATCATGGGAATAATCCACATCATAACTGCTTAAACCACTCAGAATTGTGGTCCAGCCAAGTTGACACACAAACCCAACTGTCACATGGACCCTGCTGGTGTTTGAAATATCTGTGGCATAGCCTCCAGCCTCATAACAAGCAAGCCATCACAGCATGACAAACTAATAAGCAACTGGCTATTAGAGAGATGCAAATCAAGACAATTAGATATCATCTCACCCCAGCAATAATCGCAAAGTTCAACAAGGCAGAAAATAACAAATGCTAGCTAGGGTGTGGAGAGACTGGAACTTTCATACACTGCTGGGTGGGACTGTAAAGTGATACAGCCATATTGGAAAACAATATGATATTTCCTTAAAAAAAATGGAAATAGAAATAGCATTTCATGAATTAATTCCACTACTAGAAATATATCCTAAAGATGTGAGATCCAGGAATAGACATATGCACACCCACGTTCACTGCAGCACTATTCACCATAGCAAAGAGATGGAAACATCCTAAATATCTATCAGCAGATGAATGAATAACCAAATGGTGGTACATTCACATAATGGAATGCCATGCAACATTGAAGTATAATGAAAAATCCACAAAATCACCTCAGAACATGGGTGAATTTGGAGGACATTATGCTGATTGAAATAAGCCAATCAGAGAAGGACAAATATTTTATGAGTGTATTATTTAAAAAAAGACAAGGGAAGGTTTAGGCAGGGAAAGAAATTTACTTTGTTGGTTTCCAGGAATGGGAGGGAAGGGATGGAAAATTTTCTGACTAGGTAAGAGTCATGTTGATTTCAGTGAAGGGAAAGGCAATAAAACAAAAGTGTGTGACTAACACAGTAACAATAGGGAAAAGGAGGACACAGAAATGTGCACAAAAGATATAGATAACAGAGTCAAATACTATTACATGCACAATATTGCATTGCCAGTAACAACAAACACTAGTCTACAGGTGAATGCAAAGAAAGGTGAGAACATCAGGTGTGGGTAAATGAATGGGAATATACGCATGACCATAGAGAGATTTGACTGATGATATTCTTACATATGTATTTATACTATTAAAAAAAAGACCATATACATTATAGAACTAACAGGGGACAAGGTTGTTGTAGCTTCCCAGGAACAACCAAATGCCTTGTGGCAGTGAGTCACCAGGCCTGCAGGTTTACATCCGTGGTCTCAGGGGACATCAAGCTCAACTGGCACAACACAGTACATAAAAATCTAGTTCTACATCTGTGTTAGATTGGGTTCTCTAGAGAAACACAAAAACCA